ACTCCTGCATTCTCTGTCTTTGGAATGTGGGCATAAGGCACATGCTAGTGAAATATAAATTGCCCCAAAGCATAAGCTCCACCATATAATACTGTGGTTCATATCCTTACCCCAAACTGGTTACTGGCTGGAGATCAAGTTCTTTAATTTTTAATTTTTTTGTGTGCTCTGTTGCCCAGGCTGGGGCACAGTGGTGTGATCTTGGCTCACTGCAACCTCCACCTCGTGGGTTCAAGTGATTCTCTTGCCTCAGGCTCCCAAGTAGCTGGGACTACAGGTGTGGGCCCCCATGCCCAGCTAATTTTTGCATTTTTAGTAGAGACGGGGTTTCACTATGTTGTCCAGGCTGGTCTCAAACTCCTGACCTCAAATGATCCGCCTGCCTTGGCCTCTCAAAGTGCTGGGACTACAGGTGTGAGCCACTGTGCCCAGCCACGATCAAGTATTTAAATTCCCTGAGCTTCAGTTTTTTCATCAAACTGTTAGGATACCAAATATACTTAGTGGCCTCACATAGAAATAGCCCCCTAGACTGTTAATGAGTACTTGCTCATTAATTGATAAAGTTGTCTCAGAAAAGGTCTAGACTTGCTGCCAACCATTACTTTCACAGACTTGCCTGTTTTTACAGCTATATGGACAGGTGTTTGAGAATATAAGAAATTAAAACAGAAATAGCCAAGCTTTTTAGTCCATTTTGCTAATTAATATGTCAGAGCTCATAAAGAAGAACTCATCGGCTTTCTTCAGTACTGCATCATCTTAAAGAGCTGGGTCAGCAAAGATCTCTGCAGACAGTCAATACATATTAAAACAGTTCCAAGCAGTAAATCAAAACAAAAAAAAAATAAAAAAGAAGACACTAAAAAAAGTAAAATTTATAAGCCTTTTCTGTCTGAACGTAAAGGAGCATTAAACTATTGGTTGAGGTGTCATTTTAGTAGACAGAAAGAAAATAAGGAAGAATTCCTTCTCTGACATATGTTAAGACCCTGAGTTTAACCAAAATTAAAGCATAATAATAAGAAGAAAGCTTTGCTAAATTTGATGTCATTTTCTCTGGATCCTAATGTTCCCTCAGAATATTTAAATCATTTAAAAATGGTTTTATTGTTAAAAACATACATTTTTCTGTTTTTTTTTTTTTTTTTCTCCAGCCATTGCTATAATTTGAATTTTGTCAGAGTTCAATGAGTGAAACAAGGAAAGAGGTTAAAGACATTTTTGGTTTTTCAAGGCTCTATGAAACTTGTGATTTTTCTTCAAGGAACCAAACAAACGGTATTTTATTTCTAACTTCTCTGGGCAGGTCTTACCTTATCATAGACTTAAATACCTCTCATATGTGGAGGAGGATTCTACCAGCTCAGAAACAGGAGAATCATCCTGCTATCTTCCTTGCCAAGGTAATGAGATGCAGTGCCCTTTTGGAGAAACTCCTGAAATAGGTCCTCAGAGAAATCTCAAGAATACTGGATTAATTCCAGAAGGGATGAGGGGAGCACTACATTTTGGGCCAAAAATGTTAGAAAGATTTATTTTACCTGGGCCTTTGATTGGATCTGAGCTCTGAAGTATCAACCATTTAAAAATTAAGCCGAGAAAAGGGTGCCAAAAATATTGTCACAAATTTGGGAGGTACCCAAGCCAGACCAACAGATGGAACTTGACACGAAATGGCTCTTTACAGACTAAGTAGCTGACTCAAGAAATTTTAACTCAGATGAATTTATTAAAATGTTGAATGTCGTCTCGAATAAGAGGCTGGATGACAGATTTAGGTCAGTATACACAATTTAATTTGTTTAACTTCCTGTTGGTCTTGGATAGTATAAAAGCTGCTCACATTTCCATAGCTAAAGAGAAGGAGTGAGAGACTCTTCTTAGCATAAAAAAAATACAAAAAAAAAAAAAAAAAAAAAAAAAGCAGCCAGGCACTACACGCATGCCTGTAATCTCAGCTACTCAGGAGGCTGAGGCAGGAGAATTGCTTGAACCTGGGAGGCAGAGGTTGCAGTGAGCAGAGATTGCGCCACTGCACTCCAGCCTGGGCAACAGAGCAGGACTCTGTCTCAAAAAAAAAAAAAAAAAAAAATCATATTTTAACTTAAATATTCTGAAGATCTGAAGAAAGAATTTGGGAAAGGGGGCAATATTGCAACAAAAAGAAGTTAAGTGATTCTTTTTAACAATGGTGAGTTAAGTAGAGATTTATAAGTTAAAATACGATCTAGTAACTTGCTTAGTGGTCACAGATGACCTGTAGCTGACTGAGACTACAGGTGAATTTAGATGAATTTAAAAAATGATTTTGTAACTGAAAGAGTTTGTTACAATCAAGAGAACCCTTATCCCTCTGCTGCTGCAGCTGCCGCCACCACCACCACCACCACCACCACCACCACCACCAAATCCCAACGAGACATCCCTTCACGTAAATGCAACGCACGGAGGGGAACTACGTTTTATGTGAGGGATGAGTTCCTAAGGATCATTATGATTCAAGACTAATTTTCCAAAAGAAAGAAATGTAAAAAACTGGGGGAGTGGCCAGGCTCTGTGGCTCATACCTGTAATCCCAGCACTTTAGGAAGCTAAGGCGAGTGGATTGCTTGAGCCCAGAAGTGTTTGACACTAACCTGGGCAACATGGCAAAATCCCATTTCTACAAAAAATAAAAAATAAAAATAAAAATTAGCTGGGTATGGTGCCATGCGCCTGTGGTCCCAGCTATCCGGGAGGCTGAGGTAGAAGGATCACTTGAGCCAGGGAAGTCCAGGCTGCAGTGAGCTGTGATCATGCCATTGCAGTCCAGCCTGGGTGACAGAAAGAGATTCTGTCTCAAAAACAAAAACCAAAAAAACAAAAAATGGGGAAGGGTATGTTCTTAGAGTACATAAATTTTGAACCTTAGTTGAATACTTTCCTCTAATGCTGCTTTGTGCTTTCTCGGAACCGTTTCTAGTGTTTTACAAGATGCTCTCATTTAATGTGACTCTAAAGTATATGATTTTCGGTGATTGTTTAGCCCTTTTCATTGCAGGCCACTTTTGCTCCAAAGTTATCAAGTGTCTGGTTATTTTTCAGCATTTCTACAGATGCCCAAAGAGAAATCTGAAGTAGTGATATGTTATAATAGTACTTAAAAATATAAGAATAGTGTATGTTGGAATAACAGTACATTAGTAACAGAAATATTCTTTAAAACATCAGATGTATTTAAACAGTGTGGTTCATGTGACATAAAGACTGCTGGAACTATTTCTATCAGCTAAAGTGAAGTTGCCATATGGAATTTGCAATGAACCTGTGTGATGGCTTTAAAATTCTGCCATTTTTGACTAAAAAGTTTTTGGAAGGTTATTATTTCAAGTTTTGCACTTAGCATAGTTCTTTATTAATTTTTTTATATCACACTATGCAAAGACAGATCATTGAAATTTACATAAAATGTTATGCCAATATACAAAGATGACAAAGTTCTCATCTTAAAAGAGTGACAAACTTTTAATTGCCACCTAATAGCAGTGTGCTTGGCAATTAAGATTAGAATAAGATTTGATTTCCTGGATAAAGCCAGAAAATTTATTATTTGTTCATTTTCAAAAACCAAATTGATAAACATTCCGGAAAAGGAAAAGGACTTCAACTTTTTGCCTTGAAGCCTATCCCAGCACACAGAAAAGACTTTTCATCTTCAGGTATTATTTTGTGTATATATATACACATATGTGTATATACACATATATATGAACTACAAGCAGTAGTATGTATTTAAGATGAAGATATTATAGATTATTCTTGGGGTTCCCTGGTCATGATAACTTCCTTCTGAAGCTCCTAAAAATATGTCCAGTAGTAGAGAATTTAATGGAAGAGGATGTTGGGAACAAACAGCGTGTGGCAATTTATTACTCCCACAGAAATCTCTTCTTTCACAGTGATCTAACTTCTTAGGCTTTTTATTAGGAAAAGCAAGAAAAAAAATCTAAGAGTTGTGAACCAGCCCTTCCCTGCTGTTATCACAAGAGAATCTGGAGAAAGAAGAAAGAAAAAAATCATAATCTTGCCCTGGAACATGATGGAGGTAATGAGGCAACAAGGCCACTTACTGCTGAAAACATAATTGGCACACAAACACAGGAGACACTTGGTGATGGGAAAGGCTTCTTTGTTTCACCAATGGAGTGATGTCAGCAAATCATAATCCTTCTGTTGTTTGGAGGGGCAATGCTACGAGCAAAATGGACATTTTCTCCCCCAAAATAATGTGCCCCCAGAGGAAAGGGATTACTCCACTATTTGCTTGCTTAGTAGCTTTAAACATTTTCAACTAATGTGAATAAATGATGATGGAGGAAGGCAAAAGGAGTAGGAGGCAGTCTACTTGGCCATGAAGAAACAGCTTGGATTTTAGGAGTGAAGGTAACTCACACATGATAAAGACCTAAGAGACGCTTAGAAATTTTTGTGGACTTTCTAGAGAATATCTAGGGAGCTCATTCGTGTCTCTAAAGAAAAATAATGCATACATCCCTGGAACAATCCATTGTGATGACAGGCAGGAAAAAAAAAAAGAAAAGAAAAAACTCCTATTCTTTATTGAGGAGAAAAAAATGACCATATCTTTCTTATTCTGGAATCCTTTGTCCTACCACTTAAATATGAAAGTCATCATGGGAAAGAGTCTTGAACTTTCTTGGGTTTTCTTGCAATTTTTTAAAGTGTTCAGCTGGAGTACAGATTTAAGATTTTTGGTTATATATATATATTTTTGGAAATCTTTATTCTTTGCTCCTAAACATTCTGAGTCAGCATACATTATGCCACTATACACACAGCCAAGCAATAATTCATCTTTGTGGAAGTCAGAGACATCTCCTGTATTAATTAGAAAGCCTTTCAGTGACTAGTGGATAGAAACAGGTTCCAACTGCTACTAAAACACAGCCAGTGATTTCCAGGAAGGGGAATATAGTCAGTTACAAGGAATTTCTTACCCGATTTGTGTCCAGCCAATGAGTGAACCTTGCTTTCATCTGGCACTGAGGAGAAGAAATGAAAGAGACAAGGATCAGACCAGCTTGTAAATCAGACAATTTTTAAACAGTAAATTAATATAGATTCATAATAAGTTAAAAATTTTACTGGCAGAGATTTGAGAAACATTTTTTCTTCCAGCCTACCCTGGGGTACCTCACTTTTATTGGTAGATATCTTGAAGACAGCTATGAATAAGTATGTTTATTAGATCTTTTATGAATATAGTTATATTTTCTCTTTATCTTATTTTAACTGGGTTGTTGCTTCCATGTTTACAACAGGAGAAACCAAATTCATAGACCCAGGGATGTATACAATATAATAAAATTTTTTCAGCATAACAGCAATACATGTGTTTGTGTCTGTGCGTATATTAAATACTTAAGAATTAGACTTCTGTATCTAGTCAAAATAGAGTAAAAGGGAACAGATTTGTAATCCTCCTCAAAACAATTTTTAAAACTAGACAAAACAAGAAACAATGGCATTCAACAGATTAGACATTAGGCAACAAAATGTAGTGACCCCAAGAGATGGAAAACAAAGGACGTGAACTCCACAATTGCCCCAGCTTATTCTCCGAAGAAAGCCTCCAGGCAGCTGTGCACGAAAGACAACACCCAAGCAGAACCCAGTGATGGCCCCAGCTTGAGGACATGGTGCTGGCCATCCCAGGAAGCCAAAGAAGACAGAGGTTGCAGAGCAGAGAACCAGAGAGGAAAGAGCAATACTATCTTCAGAAAAATCTCTTCATATATTTAGTTGAATACTGATGATCACATGTGTGTAAGAAAATTACCCCAAGAGTTGGCAAAGAACCATCCCAAACTGGAAAAGGAACAGCATCCGAAGTTCACATAGGGCTGGGAATAGTGCCTATTTCCAACAGCCAGAGTGGAAAACTTCATAACTGAAGGACATCTATTCGAATGTGAAGAAGGGTCTTGCCTCAACAGTGGGGAAAAACTAACTCTAGATTAACAGAGCTCTGATGAAATGGATCCATTTTTAAAAGACACAATTACTGAAGCTCATATAGGAAGAATTAGATAGTATGGGTAGCCCTATAGTAATTTTTTGAAAAAAAAAATGTGTTTATACGTAAAACTTCCCCACAAACAAAACCCTAGGCCCAGATGGCTTCACTGGTGAATTCTACCAAACATTTAAGAAATAAATAAGACCAATTCTACAGAAAATGTATTAGAAAGAGAGAGGATTTCCCATGCCATTCTATGAGGCTAGTGTTACCCTGATACCAATATCAGAAAAATACATGATATGAAAACTGCTAACCCATATCCTTCATGAACATAGATGCAAAGTTCTTAATCCTTAAGCATCTCTGCATACATTATCACTTTCAACAAAAGCTGTTCATTACCATGTGTCTATGTTAGTACATAAAACTCTGGTTTCAAGGGTTGAAGCAAGGCGAGGGGAAATTTGCTAATGGAAGAATCTCTTCCATTTTGCCTAACACTAGATTGATCTCAGAGTAACATGTCCCTTTTTTTCTCTGCCCACAATATTCAGTCTTAATTGACCCAGTTACTATACATAATCTTCCCACTCCCACCTGGTCCTTCTTTTCTAAGCGATTTCTGTATTTTCCAGATAAAAACACTACATATCTGTGATTATTCTGTTCCCAACTGCCTAAAAATATTGTTAGACTTTTTGTTTTATTTCCAGTTGGGAGGTAAGTATTTATAAGGCACCACTTGTGAGCCAAATTCTGTTTTTCTCAGACCTAAAAAGCACTTACATAGAATCAATTTACACTGTAAGTAGAAAACTATTAGAAAACAATGATAATGATTAAAAATAACCTTAGCAACTAATATTTACTGAGTACTTGTAATACACAGGTTTTATGCTATGCACTTTGTATCTGTTCATTCATTCAATTCTCACAATGACCTGGAAAGTATTATTATTACTATCTTTATGTTACAGATAAAGAAACTGACATATGCTTCATAAATGGAGAAGCCTGAACTTAAATATGGCACTCTTAACCACTCCATTCATTACACTTGTGATAAGAGTCACAGAAGAGTTACTACCTGAGAAACCTGGAATATAAGACAACACAACTAACTATATGCTAAAAAACTACTCTCTTTATTTGAATATATGCTATTAATAGTTATCTTTCTGTGGTGATCAATCTTAATAAATATTAGCTATAATTTTGTTTAACAAGTTTTGAAATTGATGATTCTGATGGGTTCAAGCTAAAATATCCATTCTCATTCTACAAATGAGAAATCATCTTTCTGAATCGGAATCCTTGTTTGGAAACAACAGTTTTGTGCAAATCATTTTAACTTTCTGTGGCCTCAGTCTCATCATAAGAAGATATTGCTTACCCCACAGATATGTGGTGATGATTACATGTGCAAATATATGCAAGGTACTTAGAAGACCACAGAGTAAGTGCTTAATAAATATGGACTACTGTCATCACCAATGAGAAACAAAATAGAAAGTCAGACTAACATCATAGCTAGTAATCAGACAGATATGGGTTGAATGCCAGCATCACCAGGCAAGTTACTCAGCTCTTTTTTTTTTTGAGACAGAGTTTCGCTCTTGTTGCCCAGGTTGAAGTGCAATGGCACGATCTCGGCTCACCGCAACCTCCACTTTCTGAGTTCAATCGATTCTTCTGCCTCAGCCTCCTGAGTAGCTGGGATTACAGGCATGTGCCACCATGCCTGGCTAATTTTGTATTTTTAGTAGACACAGGGTTTCTCCATGTTGGTCAGGCTGGTCTCAAACTCCTGACCTCAGGCGATCCACTTGCTTTGGCCTCCCAAAGTGCCGGGATTACAGGTGTGAGCCACTGAGCCCGGCCACTAAGCTCTTTTTTAGCTTTAGTTTCCCCATATGAGAAATGGGGGAAAAAACAGTACAAACAGTACACAGAGAGTTGTGGGAACTAAATGAGAAACAATGTACAAAAGCACATTGCACAATTCCAGACACATAATTCTCAATAAATGAAAACATTTGAGAAATAGAAGTTGTGACAGTGGTAAAGGTGGTGTATTTGATGACGGTTGTGGGGTTTGTGATTTAATTTGCTCAGGATTATAAAGAACTAAAGAGAGAAAATAATCAAGAGCATACTATGCTTCAGCAGGGCACTAGGTGCTTTCACACTGTTATTGTATGGATCATTCCCCAACCGCAACAGATATGACCTAGCAGTTTACCTGGCTCCTGAATCATTCTGCAGTGGAAGACAGGCAATGAAAGTACAGTAGACTGTATGGTTTTATTATGTATAGTCATTCAGAAGAAGGGATTCATACAAAGGTAAGGCTTTTGTTATTTTGTTTTTATCTTTTTAAAAAAATCTAAGCTGATTTAAGTACTTGCAAATTCCCTGGCCATATTAGGCTTAACAAATTATCTTCTTAACTTTTTGGCTGAATAATATTTATTATTTCTTATACTTATCATTATTTTAATTGACAATTTGAAATTATCTCGAACACTAATATAAACTATTTGAAAAACATTGTAGAAAATCCAAATGGGTGATAGGCATAAAAATTAGAGGCCTTTCTCCGAAATATTCACTGACACAGATGTCTATCTTTAGGACAGAAGATAAATGAATAAACATAATGGAAAAGAGAGGGAACCGTAATGACTTAATTGATAGAATACATTTTATTTAAAAGGTTAAATTTGGAACAATCATCTTTTATACACATGCTTAGTGCTGGGAAGTAATTTAAATAACAGTAGCAAATGAGAAAATGAGGTAAAATTACACATGCCACCAAGTTGTTTTTTTTTTTTTAAATGGCAAGTGTTATAATTAATACCCAACTTCCTTTATAACTCACATTACCTTAGAGCTACTATTAAAATTATCTCTTGGGGCTGAAGCTTAAGTCTAGTAGTTTCACTGCATAATATTTAGCACAGTGATTGGAATGGTAGCGATATGAAATACGACAGGTGTGTCATTTTAAACAAAGGACTTATTTACAAGAGACTGAAAAATAAATGGGCCTGGTGTGGGAAAGGTCTTTGATTCCAAAATGGTAAAGTATTAATTAAAAACATTGAGTAAGAGAGTACTGATGGAACAAGAGTCTTAAGTTTCTTGTTCTAGTTCTGATGATAGAATTTTTTCTCCTTTTCTTTCTTCTTTCTTTTGAAAAAAGTATTTGTATTTACAGGTTATTTCATTGCCTTTCTTATCCTTCAGTTTTACCCAAAGACTGGTACTACTTGCTCTTGATTATCTTAAATGGATATTATAATAATTGAAGAGATATCAATGAAATGCTCAGGTTTCTGAAGCTGCAATTCATAAATATTTTTGTAACTGTTATTTTATTATAACCATTATTACATACTTAGAGGGTACCATGGACTGCCTCCTCTTGATCTTTCTTCAGATTTATTTAGATAATAGGATTTCTACACTAACTTCATGCTCCCTCATATTCAATTCAAGATTGATGTACATTATTTTACCTAATTATCATAAGGTACTTAATAAAGAGGACACTCTTTGGCTGGGAAGATTGTTAATTTTCTGGTGTGTTCTCTGATTCAGGAAGACTCGTTTGAGAAACATAGCAGCCTGATGGCCTATGTTTCTAGTTCTCCTGGTTGTAAGCCTTTGAAGCTAATTAGAACTGCCCAGTATCAATGGCATCTTTTAAAAAAGCATAAACAAACAGTCTGTGTCTTTTCACTTAATGTCAACCAGTTCATCATTAGAATTGAGAGAAAGAAAATACAGGGGGAAAAGTCTATGAAAAAGATGGCACTCTGAGAACTAGTTAGTGGCAAACATCAAAGTGCACATAAGACTTACACACATTGGCTTCCCAGTAGGATACATTTATATTAATATAGTGATCACTTAAAGTGTTTTATTATTTTGTCAAGCTTTCTTATACACTTCAAATGCATTCTCACTGGGGGAAAACAATCCCCTTGCTTATTGATAGCATTTGATACGCAT